TGACTGTGGTGACTGTGGCGACTGTGGTGTGGTGACTGTGGTGACTGTGGTGTGGTGACTGTGGTGACTGTGGCGACTGTGGCGACTGTGGTGACTGTGGTGACTGTGATGACTGTGATGAGTGGACTATGGTGACTGTGGCGAGTGTGGCGAGTGTGGCGACTGTGGTGACTGTGGTGACTGTGATGACTGTGGTGACTGGCGACTGTGGCGACTGTGGCGACTGTGGCGAGTGTGGTGACTGTGGTGACTGTGGTGACTGTGGTGACTGTGGCGACTGTGGTGACTGTGGCGACTGTGGCGACTGTGGCGACTGTGGTGACTGTGGTGACTGTGGTGACTGTGGTGACTGTGATGAGTGGACTATGGTGACTGTGGCGAGTGTGGCGACTGTGGTGACTGTGGTGACTGTGATGACTGTGGTGACTGGCGACTGTGGCGACTGTGGCGACTGTGGCGAGTGTGGTGACTGTGGTGACTGTGGTGACTGTGGTGACTGTGGCGACTGTGGTGACTGTGGCGACTGTGGCGACTGTGGCGACTGTGGTGACTGTGGTGACTGTGGTGACTGTGGCGACTGTGGTGTGGTGACTGTGGTGACTGTGGTGTGGCGACTGTGGCGACTGTGGCGACTGTGGCGAATGTGGCGTTTTAACTTAATAGTCAGATAAATGATATGAGTTTACTTCGGTGATGATAACAAGTAAAGTTATTAGCGTGACCAAGGTGTATTTACATCGGTTACTCAGGCAACAAATGGACTGCCGGTCACACTTAACTAAAGTACGCGAGACAAACAGTATCTTGGGAACTCCTTGATGTCTTAGCGTATAATTAGATATAGTTTCAGGTGCATTCCTTTGTCGGAATTCATTGCGAAACAGAGCGAATAGATTCCGAACATGTCGGTCCCTGGACAATAAACTTATGTGTAATCAAGAAAGCCTGTCAGTCTCGATAAAAGCTGACTGCCGCTCACTTCTGTAATTTCATATCCGCTTTGAATATATTTCACAATGTTGTATATTGCCCGTACACCGTCACCCGGCACTCATACAACCCGCAATAGCATAGTACAAGAAAAAATGTTTGTTAGTTTGTAAGTATAAATTATATACATACTTTTATCCGGAAATGCACGCCCTCAGGCTCCCACTGTACAAAAACCATCTCACTTTTGGATTACTAGTATCCGATAACGCGAGATGAAACTAAACACAACGAGACTTGACAAAGTAGATTACAGTGCGTATTTATACCGTAACAAACAGTACTTTCCGAATCATTATCATCACGATTTCTATAAAGCGCCCGAAGCATCCGTTAAATAGCGAGCGGCGTTCCGTCACAGGGAGATTGATTGTGTTTACATCGGTTACCCGAACAACAAAAAGACTGTCACGTCCGCTTTAAATCCGGTGTCCGCAAAAAACGAGAACTCAATCCGAGGCGAATTATGTTACCTTGCCGGAATCATCTGACAATTCTTTGCGGGTTTCCGTGTATTGTTCCAACTGAGAGATGTTGATGTTAGCGGAGTCTGTCCAATGTATTCAAGTTCTCGAGCTTATTATCTAATGGTTGGTTTGGCGCAACAGTAATTAAGGCTCACTGTTTGTCAAGTACTACGTTTTTATTCCACAATTTAAATATGTCACGCTTACTAAGAAGTAATACCAATCATAGGTTCGCGTTGATTGACTAGAATTGACCAGCGGGCAAAATAATCGGATAGGCAAATGTTCCACTCCAAGATGAGACTCGAGCTCAAATTAACAAACACAATGTAATAGGTCGCTACCCAGTTAAACCCTCGAGTGTTATTTTTACTTGCTATAATTGAGCTATGGGTCAGTGTGACCTCATGTGACCTCGTTTCTCTCATGCTTAAACATAACACAAGACTAGCACCGCCTTTTTTTGCCATCGCTACATTATATGACCTGGCACGGAGGTATTATCAACAGTGTATGGGATTTGGAAGTTTGGAAGCAATAACGCTCATGTATGCAAATATACTATCGATCCCGTTAATCCGTTTAGCAGTTGGAAGAGAAGCTTTAATATTCGATTAGAGCAATTTGAAAGTACTGTAAAACACGTCTTTTTAGCTAGCATGATATTTTAGGTAATATAGCTAATCTGTAATTACGCTAATTCAAGATGTCACTAACATGAATTTAAAATAAATATATTCTCACATTGAGATTATTGGCATTTTAGCCAAATTAAGATTCAGTTAATTCATGCCTTAAGTCAAATTCGCTAAAATGACACGAAGCTATTTCAAAGTGTTTTACAGTAAGTTATTTCAAAATGACTTAATAAAACAAGAGAGTTTTGAGTTTATTTTATTGAAAACCCCATGAAAAGAAGCAATAATCAGAACACAAAAATATAAGTGGCGGGTGCAGACACGTCTGCTGAGAACCAAAGGCGGTAGGTTTTATTGCGTGATATTTCCGTTCACCCGGTAATGCGATTACTGAGACAACACATGTAATCTAAGCGGACAGGTAAAGTGGGTTCAATGGGGCGTGACGTTATCGTGCCCGCTGTGGGCTTGGGAACTTAGTTTCGCAGTGTATAGACGAATATGCCTTCTCTATTTTTACTCGACGAGCATACAGATCATGGATCGGTGATACCCCGGTGTGCAGTGGTCTTGGCGAAAGGTTATGTGACGAATACAACACGCGTAAAATGGTTGGTTAACTTTCGGTTGGCTATTCAAGCCGCAATTCAGACAGAATTTGGTAATTTCAATGATCGCATGTCGAAATACGCAAACTTGGATAATAGTATGTTTCATAGATTTTACATACGTTATACTAGTTGGGAAGATTTATTTAAAGCGGAGGGGTCGTCACCTGCGCATGTGCGGGAATTGAGTCCCAAGCGACGATAACAACACATGCTAAAAACGCAAAGGCTCATGAGTAGACGGGTGTTTTGTAGACAATGACACGCTATGGCCATTTGCCGCATGCGCAGGTGTCGACTCTCCCGCTTTAATCACAAATCGGCGTTTAGAGATAACCTAATGTTTAACAAAGTCGTCCATAGCGTCAGTTGCCGGTCTTGCTGACTGTTCAGTGTGTATACGTCTACGGTGTTTAATGTGCTTGTAAATGTGTGTTCAGTATATTAGATCGCAATGTTCAATGCCATGTATCTAGTACTATATATTTACTTCACGTGTTGAAATATATTCTGATATATTTCAGCGGAATAAATTAAAGAAATCATGACATATATACTTGCAGAGCGAAGCCCTTCGATGTCCGTTCAGACCACGTTTCACATTTAAACAAAACTGTATTTCGCGATACATAGTTCTTTATCTTGGAGTTTTTTTCAAAGATACAATTTTTCGTAATTAACAAAAAGAATAATTGTTTTATTTTGTTATCAATAGAGCCTTTAGTACGCAAATTATGTAATTAAGTTCGCTGGCATGTATTTAACCTAATAAATGCAAAAATGAACAGTTTGGAACAATTTCCATCGAAATTTATGTTATTCCAAATAATTCGTGACAACCATAAATACTCCTTTTTTTACAACACTTGATTTCTTTTCCATATTAAACCGAATGAAAACATTGTCACAGGTATTCAGTACCTATATGCTGATAGTAAACTTACAGAGGTTAATATATATTTTGGGTCTATTCTGTCAAAAGTGTGACATGACAGTTAAAACGACAAAACTTGTGTGTGTGTGTTTTAGAAAAGGGGGTAACAGGGCCCGTTTGGAAAAATGGTTTCTCTATGGCAACGCCATCGAGGTAACTCGTTATTATAAGTATTTAGGTCTTGTCCTAACCTCTAGAAACCCAAAAGATGTCGCAAATCTGGCAGAACAAGCAAACGTTTTTGGTCTTATAGCAATTGCAGGAAGACATGTAGGGTGGTTTCCTTTAAACTCACATTCCAAATTGTTTGATTCACTGATATTACCGATTTTGCTTTTACAGATCTGAGATTTGAGGCTTACAATTCTTTGAAGCAATTGAAAAGATACAACATAAGTGGTGCCAAATATTTCTGGGTCTACCTCCGATCGCCGCAAATGAGGCAGTTATTGGATAATGTGGTCGTATACGTATTGCAAATATAAAGCATCACGGTAGTATAAACTTTTGGCTAAATATACTTGTACTCCCCCGCATAGATTACTTCATCAATCCTACTGCATGCTTTTCAGCTTAAACGAGTCGGGCAGGGTTAGCTGGGCTTCATCCATTAAACATATGTTTATATTCTTGTGGTTTTGGCTATGTGTCGATAATAAACGAAATAAAAACGAACACGTTAATTTATGTCACGTGTTCAGAATGTCTGCCGTCAATGTGTTTTCATAATTCTGTTGTGGTTGCCCCCCCTCCCCGGGTATTGAAGAGGGAAAACACGAAAGCTATGAAAGCATCAAAAGATTTTTTTAAATTAATAATTTAGTAGATGTGAAAGATGAATTTGAACTCCTTCTTGTGTGTCCTGTCTATCAATTGCTGAGGGCACAATTCATACCACACCAATTCATAATGCATCCGAATGATTTCAAATTTCCATCTTTATTACGTTCCACGAACACACTATAGACAATACCCGTGGTTTTTTTGGTGAAAATAGCTCGATCTATCTACCATCAGTAGATCGTTCTCTATTAACATTCGTGTGTTTACATATAATTTCGCCAAACTCGACCATTCTGCCATGGATCACATAATTATACGCTGTTCAAATCTACATCCTTAAATAACTAGAAGCCACACTAGAAAGCACAAGCTTTTTGAAACTACGCGGTTGTTAATATCCGAAACTGTAATATTTGTATGCAGCGTCATTGCGTGATTTAAATCGAAAAGCAGCCGCGGAGACGGTTTTTATAAAGGTCACTGTGGGAGAATCTCGATATTAAGGGATTTATTTTCCATCTACTCCGTAATTGAAGTTTTCAGTAGAACGCATCCTAATCGTCGTCTATGTGATATTGCTTGAAATATTTTGGCGCGTTTGAATATTTTCTATCCTACGGCCATATATTTAACGTTGGTGTGTAGTGAAGTCGTTTGCGATGTACTTTTGAATCGTTTCTTCTAGCGCACGAGGTAGGCGTTGTACATGAATGCTAGAACAGACGACGCGGTGGGCCATTCATGGCCTTTGAAGAATGGTTGTCGCTAGGGTATTAAGTACTGAAGTAAGCTAACTGGGAATCATAGAGGCCAGTCAAATTACGCGTACAATTAATGCACAGTGACGGGGTGCGGTGTACTCTACTATAATGCTATAGTAAGCGAGTTCAATATACTCCCAGACGGATGTAAATATTACATAAATAGGTTATGATTTGTTGATAAAAAAACAAAACAACGATGACGTATTCTAATAGTAAAGCCACTCGAATGTTCAAAAACCGGCACATACCACTAGCATCGGTGAATTTTGATAGTTTTCCACAAGTGTCTTCATTATCAGTTTCTATCTCGAGGTGTGCCCAGTGGCGATCGATATCACACTGGATGCCGCGTTTTATCTGAACATGAGTGTATCAAGTCTCCCCGTCTGACCGATCAACCGCTGTTTTTAATCAACTCCAGTGTATTCAACATGTTCACGGAATATACTATTTTCAGCGACCAGCCCTACAGTGTTGTTTCTTCGTAATTGCGAATTCCGTCTCACGCGTCTATATAAAGCCGGTACAATGATAGCGTGAGTGTAGAGGGTTTAATGAATTGACAAAATGTAAAAAAAAAAGAAAAAAGACGGCGTTAGTTTCGAATCGCTATTCATGACCGTTGGTTAGTGAACATCCTCGTGTTGCTGCTTAATGGATACGCACGCATCAACCGAGGATACCCCAATACATGTAGTATAAACAACAACACTGTTGTTGCAGTAAATATTCACGGGGATGACAACGACTGTGAGGACGACCATGTGTTGCTATACACCATCTAACGCAATTAAACGCAATGCGCAAGGCTAATTTGTGTTTCTCTCCATAAAATCAGAAAACAGTTGATCGAATTTACCCTTCTCTTTGAAGATCTATCTTGCCCATGGCTAGAAACCGTCGCCATGGTTCCCATGTACTTGAGTTGATAGAGCTACCCATGCTCATTTGCCCTTCTCAGTGTTCCCACCGGTAAGGTGAAATCGACATATTAGAAGATAATTATCCGTACTTTAAGATGCAATCGCCCAACGCGTGGCCGTGTTATTAAACTATCCTACTCAGGTGATATATTTTTTTATTCGTGTTTATTTCAAAATGATATGAATAATCGTTGATATTTCCTTGCCAATAGGACCTATAGATCATCCGTATCATTAAACGCAATCTTCGGGCTGCTTCCGAAAGGTCGAAATAAATCATGGTGGCGCAGGAAATGTACTTAATCGTTGAAATATACACTGCCACTCAACAATACTTAATCACAACTATCGTAACGGTTGACCTATTTACTGGCTCAACAAGCGTTTCAACTTGTCTTGTGAATCATTTCGGGTTGCCGTGGTCACTTTATTTTGCACCTGAAATGTCAATGCTACAATTCCGTTTAGTTCAATTACAAAATAAATAAAACCTTACCTGGCGTAGCTCCTTGAAATAAGTCGCTTTTTTTCTTGAACCACGGAATCAATAAATCGATATCGACGTCTTTGCGATCGTTCGGTTGTTGCGAAATCACTGAAATCGCCTTCTCCAATATGTGGCTCATTTTGCATTGCTACATCAGTGGAGCCGGTACCTGTCCAATTCGTTACTGTACACGTGCGACGTCGTGTGCGTCGTTTGGATGGAACGGGTAAAATAGCTGTGATCGAAGCCGCAGTCGTCCAGGTTGTGCGTTCTTTATCGAAGCGAGACAGGTTTTTGAATGGCAATCGCAAATCGTGTGTGTCGATAAGATGGCGCTGTCTATTAAATGCAAAAGCTGAGTGGCGTCTGAGTTGACGAATCGCCGTTCAAATATGTCGAAAGTCGTCAGTGTCTTGTCGAGTTCATTACGTCATCTGACGTCACATACTTATATCACTTAATATCAATGGGAGCAAGTTTCCATGCTGAGGTACAAGATCATAGAATTTCAGATGCACGATTTGTATACTCCCCAGGCAGAATGTGGAACATGCTACCGTGCTCAGGCTGCTGTCGAGTACCTCCGTCGACGAAAGCTCCTAAAAACGAAAAGCAAAAGCGAGATTTAAATTACGTGTAATGGGCCTTTGTACCTTTTTGCCGAAGTGAAATCAACAATACTTAACTTCACGGACATTATGCACCGACAGACTGTGATCTGGTGCAGTCACGGTCAATGGAACTGTTCATTTTTTGAGGGCAGGGGAACATTTTGCAATTTTCTAAATAGAAACTTCTTGGTGGTAAGGAGCAATTTTGATATCTTTTTAGGGGAGGACATTGTAAAACTTTATAGCGTGGGGTATCCCAATCCTATATTTTTTCTATGATACACGTTTGGAAAGAGCGGGAAAGAATGTCTTTACAGAGGGGAAAATTCAAAGGAATATTTTGCATGGCAGGGAAAACTATTCCAAAATAGATGATGTAGGGATTCAGATCCCAAAAATATTTGGGGAGCAGGTAAAGAAATCAAATGAATTTGGAGTTTAATTGAGGAATTCTCTGTCCGTAAAAGGAGTTTAAAAACAGCTTCAAATTTCCCTTTTTAGTCTAAATTACTAGTCAGTCCAACATGTAATTTGTAATGAAAAGAACACTATTTAAGTTATATCGCTTCATTGACTGTTCCTGTATGATACCAAAAAGCCGGCAGCAGCTTCTGTGATTTCAATTATTTTGAAGGTCAAGTTGAATTTATCCATGCGTAAGTGTGTTTCGCCATGTTGGGTTTGTGTAAAGAGTAAAACAATTATTTTAATCATCTTTAACAAGGATATATAAGTATATCATTTCAAGGTTTGTATAACTTTGAATTACATTTCGTGATTAATTGCTCCCATAACTCCTAATGAAATGCGATGTTAGAAGACGTTGATAGTATGAATACGGCGAGGATAATAACACTGACAGTGAACATGGCATGGGTTCGTCAGCCACTCACTTTATACATACAGTGTCTCGTAAACCGCTTAATTTTCCGAGAGGGCAATTTTCGCCAATTTCGCTAGTCAGTGAAAATATCGACAGTTTGTATCAATGTAAATTTCTCTGGATTCCTACCACTTGGAATCTCGGTCACTTTCGCGAATTGTTGTCTTCACAAGTATTTCTAGTAGTGAAAGTTAAACGCTCACAGTATGCAGCGCAATGGTACCCACACATTCGCAGAATCAGAACCCACCCACACTGAAACCTACTACAGCAGCGCTCTTAAAACGCGTCGTGTTCGACGTGGGTCCCGTGCGACAATTACACTGTTCGTGGTCTAAGCGAAATACGGACGCTACGCAACACGACGACTGTTGCTGTTAGATTGTTGAAACGAGAAAAGAAACATTTTATCGCACACTGTATAGAGCTGAGCTCACTCTGTGGATGAAATAAAGACTGAAAACTCGAAGACTGCAACCAACTATTACCGGTCTAGTCGAAGTGGGATTGTATTCCGAAACACCTGAGATGAAACGGGTCGGAGAGTTCACTCAAATAAACAAATTCTGCTGCAATATCCATTTCTTTGTAGAAGGGCAATTAACAACAACCTGAAACATTACTATACGCTTCGTAGACTATCCAATATCGCAACACACTCAGTACGCGTACAGGCGAGGTCTAGGTCTTTACTAAGTACGGCGCAGATTTTTGCCTTGTCCACACTTACATACATCCCAGCACCAGCGCCGTCCGAGTAAACTGTCGTCTAATATAAGTCAGTGACTTTTCTTCGTGGTTTTTCGAAAGACGTCGAATACTGAAAATCTGTTTTAGTCCTGGTCGTTACCCTCGTTACGGAGTTACACAGATTAACTATAATATATCACTGCGTATCAACGTTTCATTAATATCCATGCCCGTGGAGTGAATCATACACCGATGATAAATTCAAGGAAGAGATTAATATATTCACATATATTATATGTTGGTACAGTGTGTCAATGTGTAAGTACTACGACGTACTAAACCAATACGCGCTAACTGTGAGAAGCTACCAGACTAGGGCCAAGTACCTTCGTATTCTATTCTGATTGGTTAACGTAGACGGTTTCGGAAGAACCACACAATCCAAAGAGCCAGTAAAGAAGACGTTAACAGTGAAAATAACTCGTACCACGTAGTACACATCTCACATAATAGACATTTTCAGGACGTAAAAATCAATTAATAATTGTTTTTTTATAAAAATGTTTTAAATCATGTCGACCTAGGTTAGTACGATTTTCATATAATATTGCAGTAACATAATGTATTCTTCTAATCGTGAATTCGATACACTGGTGGTTTACCTGAATACTCAATACGCCTCCGTTGTATTCAGTTAAGATGTCTAGCAGACCTCGGCGACCTTGGTTCCGAGTCAAATACTAAATCTAGAGAACTGGTTAACTGACGTCACAAAGCACCAGGTGATAGTTATCACACAAAAAATACAGTTGTCTTAATTAATAAAGACTGGCTTATCGGCACAAAGAAACAACTTTTCAGGCCAGCTATACCGGAGTTTGAAAAGCTAGTTTGGAAAACAAATTCCAATTCATTGTTGAGACACGTCGACCGTGGACACAATTCGGTCAGTGACTTCTAAATATCCGTCATATTGTAATCATTTCATTACACCACAGGTGCGTGTTTTGCATGTCGGGCGTTGTGTATCACGACTGGCATAGTAACAGTGTTTCCCTTTGGAAGCAGCCCATATCGGAAACCGAGCACGACAATGAGAATTATAATTTGTGGTATTTATTATAATTTTTTTTTTTCAAAAATATACTAATCGAGTTTCTAAATTTGAAATCAGCGCCGAGTGACGCTTTAAATTCAGTTTGTTTACAAAATAATATAATTGTATGAATCTTGCATTTGTATCACATTATTTTTCACGGGACACATATTCAAATAGATTCTAAATTAAATGTAAATATATGTTAACTTTATACAGTTCAAGCCATTTACTACCGAGTCTTGAACAATAGTCTTTACCGTTATGAAGAACGCACGTACACAACTAGGTATTCACTTCATGCCGCAATGTTGGCTATAGTCGGGTCACGTGAATATAGTATTACATATATCTGGAAATGAAATGTACATCTTATAATATTATACTAGTATCTTCCTTGTACAATATATGTGTTGTACAGTGGAGGTTTCATTGGATCAGTATTGCATGGTGGTTTAAAAATAGATAAACAGTTATGCAGAAACGAGTGTATTGGTAGCGAAACACCAGTCAAATTGTTGACAGAAAGCATATACGTCCAGTCAACTTGAACATGAATATCGGGTGAACACGTCACAAGACATATCAATTTATCAACCCGATGTGTCATCGCCATCATCTAGACACGATTCTGCTCAGAAAAAACTGACACAACAAGCCCACAAGTACGCTATCATGTTATACTACGCCATACCATCTGAAATGCCCCCCCCCAAGTATATTGATATTGATATTGGAACGCGAGGAGGAGTGTATTGTACAAAATATCAGATATTGTCAAACGTTGGAGTATATTTATTCGAAACTACATTTTTTTAGTTTGCAATGGCGATGTTTATCATAACGAAATTGGTATGTTTTGGAGGTTTGCATTGAACTAACAAAGAAACAAATGACTTACTTGTGTCGCACGAACACACTCTAGGCTACTCTCGCCTCGGAACTCACTTTCCTGTCGAAAGTATTAATTTATTTGCATCGACTCGTCTTTATATTGTTCACAACAATGGAACTGTGGTCTTTGTTTGCAAGTTTTTTTCCTTCTGATGACCTAGTGATGCCCGTTCAGGTCACTTCGACCATGTTTAAAAACTGCCATGAAAACCACGAACAGTCCACATAAACTTAAAGAAACAATTATTTAGCATTCAGCACGGTTACCCAGAAATCTGAAATGGAGTCTTTGTCTCCCGAAACTTCGATGTTCGCAACACGTTAATACGAGTATTAGTAAAGCGTTAATAACAATGTATATGCACAAAGGTTGCGACAATACCTGTTAAACAACCGTTCTGTAAAGCCCAACCCTTTATTCATCGCGGAGACGATATTGTTACGTATAAATGGTGGAATATGAATGGCACACCCCGGCTTTTTATGGGCTCTCGTATGTGTACCTACCCAGTGATAACAATTTCAACGCTGCAGTGGCGGATCTAGGGGGAGGGGGTTCTTGAAAAAATTATTCAATTTGTTTTTAACTTAGTCTGGTGATTTTAAAGTTTGAACCCCCCCCCCCCCATACAAAAATCCTGTATCCACTCTTGCGCTGATACACAACTCAACCTGCCCGTCCGCTACGACGACGAAGCATGAGTGCCCGGCATAAGTGTCTTACGCACCTAATGCGGCGGCACGAAATTTTGCGGGGGGGGGGGGTCTGCTCGCCATCCCTCGCGCCATAGGCGCGGCCGTACTTGGGGGTCCGGGGCATGCTCCCTTATAAGTTTTGAAATCTAGGCCCTCTGAAACGCTATTACCTGCATTTTGAGGGGCAATTTTTGCTGACACAAAGGGTTTCAGCTAGATTGGGGGGGCAGTCTTATTTGAATCTTAATACAGGTGAACCAGATACTCTATTATGACACGTTTCTGCCTAATCAGCGCATGCGCAGTAAAACGTCAGTCTCGTTCCCCACTAAGATGAAGGAC